GACGAGCCTGAAATTGTGAGAGGAGCAGTTAAAATTCGGTCACTATGCGAAGAGCAGGCAGGAAGAGAAGAGAATGGTGCGATAGAGAGAATGTGCTGAGAGGAATAGCAGAGAAGAGAGTCTTGCAGGTGCGGTGCCATGAGGAGAGAGACGAGGGGGGCGGGTCTAGAGCAGCACGTGATGGTTTTCGATCTGCCGGTGCACCAGCATCACTGTATTGTACGACAACCGGGCCGGAGGAGGTGCCATTCGCTCGTGAGACTGAGATCGTTCACATGATATGTGCAGATGTGTTAGTTTGGGTAGAGAGAAGCCTGAGAGAGGCTGATGCATGGCAGGAGAGGGCTCATTAGGAGGGTAGCAGGAATGTCATTAGCGAGAGTGAGATGCAGAGAATGGTAGAGATAGTTGGCGAGATGGTAAGAAAGTATAGAATGTAGTAAACGGCATAGTAGGTGCCAATGGTTAAATAGTTTGGCTTGTTTTTTTTCTCCCACAGAGTGCCATTTGCTGACGTAGCCCGACCACCCACGCTGCCGCTAGAGGAAGGTGCGAAGCTAACTATGTAACTCTCCCCGCTGTCTTGCATCTCTCGTTCTCTCACTCCCGACACGTGCACCACAACTCATGTCGTGTCTCTCTGTAGCCCATGTCGGGATATCGGTGCTACGCGATCCTGTCTCAGCGCGTGAGATCATGACTTCACGCCACGACGCGATCCTGCCGCGCGCGTTCTCCTTCCGCTCTCATGTCATTTGTTCTCCGCGCCAGCTGCATACCAGCACAGATTCTGCCTCAACGCGGTGATGGATCCTGCTCAAGCGTGCATGCGATCCTGCTCAACCGCATGATGGATCCTGCCGCAACGCATGATTGGATCCTGGTCAACGCACGACGGCATCCTGCCTCAACGCCGTGTCTCGCTGGTCGCGCCTCTCATGTCATTGTGTCTCGCAGCCAGCTGCGATACCAGCACGGATGCTGCCTCAACGCCGGTGTGGATCCTGCCTCAACGCCGTGATGGCATCCTTGCCGTCAACGCATGAGGATCCTGCCTCAACGCATGATGATCTTGCGTCAACGCATGAGGGATCATGACTCATGCCACGACGGATCCTGCCCTTCAGCGTGTCTCGCTCCCGCTCTCATGTCATTTTGTGGTCTCCGCCAGCTAGCCTGGCATTCCCAGCACGGATCTGCCTCACGCACGTACGCGATCCTGCCCTCAGCGCTGTCTCGCTCTCGCGCTCATGTCATTTGTGGCTCGCAGCAGCGCGATACCGGCAGCGGATCCTGCCTCAACTGCGTCCATGGCTCCGTCGGACCGTGCTTCGCGGCTTCGCTGTGCGGCCGTCCGGCGAGCCAGCCGCCAATCGTTCGGCCATCGACGCGCAGTGCGTCTCGTGTTATCGCGTGCGCGGCCAGCGCCGCGCTGCCGCGGGAAGATGTTTGACATGGTAAGGCGCGGCCGCGGCTCGGTGCCGCGTGTGAACGCGGGGCCGCGCGCTGCGGTGTCTCGGGGGGGGCGCCGGACGTTAACCTGTCTCGCCCTGGTTTGCTTTTCACCGCGTCGCGCAGCCGGGGTGACGGCCGACGGCGTTGCCTCTACGACTGCGGAAGCCGTCGGCCTCCGCCCACACCCGACGGCGCAGAGTGAGCTGGCGACGCGGCCCTGCGGCGTACTTACTCCATCAACCGGCAGTGCATGCTCACGTGCGCCCGCTGAGCGACAACGTTTGCTCGCTTCATGGTGGTCTCGCACCGGCGCGGCCGCGGGCAGTGGCGGCAGTCTTTGGCCGCCCCTGCGGCCGCGGCCGGCGCCGGGCATGCTTCGGTGTGGCGCTGCAGCATGAGGCTCTCTCTCTCTCTCTGTATCATCTGTTACTCTGCTGTGTCACCCCACCAGTGACGCTAGGTATAGCTACGTGTAGTCTCTCGTTTTGCACTACTAAGACCACCTGCTCGTCAATGATCGTACGTGAGCTGTCTTCAGTCCGATCGCACTACGCCGGCCTACCGTGCCACAGAAAGAAAAATGCACAGCAGACCAGCTAGCAGCACGGGCGGTCTCTTCCTCCTCTCGCCATCTCTCACTCTCTCCCTCTTTACTCTGCCTCTCTACGCTGTCATAGGGCGAATGCCATGTCATCTCCCTCTCTCTACCCTCACACTTCTCCGGTGACACAGTGCATGATTGACCTCTCTAACGTCTGATAACACAGAGCAATTTTCATAGCATCGATGTCTCCATCAGTATCTGCCAGTGCACTTAGATGCTTCACGGTGTTGCATGGCTCTTTCCAATAATTGTAGGTGGTCTCTCTCCTCACGTCTCCCTGCGCCTCTCTTCCTCCTTTCTCCTCTCCTTCCCTCCCCCTCGCCCCTTCCCTCGTATCCGTCCCCTCTCTCCCTGCCATTTCCTCTTCCCTCTTCATCCCTTTGCCGATCCATCTCATCCCACTCTTCTCCACTTCTCTCTCTACCCGTCCGATTTCCTCCACTCTCATTTCCTCTACTTCTCTACCCTCGCTGGTCCCTCTTCGTCCCTTCATCCTCCCCTCCCCCTTTCCCTAGAGGCGCAGCACTCGTTGCGATAATCAAGGCCCAGCTCTCTCTAACCTGAACATGTCGAGCTTCTAGCTATAGCAAGTCGCGGGCGTCTTTTCGCCTATGTTAAGTATAGCAAAGCTAGTGCATTCCCCATTACCCTCCCCTCCCCCTGTATTGCCGGCGACTCTTATGCACGCTGCAGGAAGCCTGCAGCTATGCCTCCACGCTTAGAGAACTGATGACTTCTCCCCTCTCCTCCCTTGCTCGCCCCTGCCCCCGTAGGTCCAGCAAGTTTCTAATCGTCGAGCATAGCTTCTCCCCCCCCCCCCGCCCCTAGCGCCACTTTCACCTTTCTCCCGTTTAGTCGTAGGGGCCCAGCGATGGCCAGGATCGTAACTACGAGCTTCTGAGTCTCTCTCAGGCTACAGCTAATCAGCTTGCCTCTTTCAGCAATATGACCTGCAGCCGTCTTTAGAAGAGGCATGCGAAGGAGGAACTCGTAGCGCGTGTGGATTTTTGCCTTCACGACCGTGCTTAACAACCGTACCATGGCGTCTGTGTTTGCTGCATGCAGCGTTAGTCGGCTGGTAGCGTGTGTAGTGATGTGCGCTGTGACGTGGTGCGTGTGCGTGTGCGTGTGCGCGCATCGGGGGGGGGGGGGGTGTGCGGATCGTGCGTGTTGCGTGTTGGCGTTCGTGCCGGTTTGTGCGGTGCGCGTGTGGCGCCGTGATAAGGATCGTGTGATGTGCGTGTTTTGTTTTTTGTTTTTGTTGTTTTTTTGTCACTGACTAGCCAGGTGGTCTGTCGGGCAGGCGGGATGGTTTAGGTTAACAGTCGTCGCATGAGCATTTTGCATCAGACGATAACGCCAACAAACTGTCGCACATCCACCAATCATCTTCCCGGCCGGTGGCGTGGACTGTGTATCAGTGTTAAGTGGTGGTGTGTGTGTGTGTGTGGTGATGTGTGTGTGGGTGTCCGGGGGGTGTGTGTGTTTGTGTGGCATGGTGTGCGTGTGCGTTTGCGTGTGTGGCCTCGGTTAGTGTGTATGTGTGGGCGCAGCCGGTGTCGCGCGCTGCGCGTGTGTGGTGGGGTGTGTGACGTGTGCGTGTACGTATGCGTAGTGTGGGGCGTACGTGCGTGCTGTGTGTGTGTTCCGTGCGTTTGTGTGGCGCCCCTGACTGTGTGTTGTGCGCTTGTAGTGCGTGGTAGTGTGTGTGTTGCGTGATGCGCCTGTGGTGTGTCTGCTGCCTAGGTGCGCTGTTGTGTGCTGTGTGTTGTGCTGTGGCCGTGCGTCTGCGGGGGCTGTTTGTCGTGCGTGCGTATGCGTGCGTGTTTGTGTGTGTGTATGTGCGTGTCCGTGTGTGTGTGTGTGTGTGTGTGATGTCGCGTATTGTGCGTGTTTAGTGCTGTGCTAGTGTATGTGGCGTGGGCGTGCGTGTGTGCCGGTGATGGGGCGCCGGTGTTTGTGTGTGTGCGTGGTATGTGCGTGCGTGCTGTGTGTTGGTGGGGCGGGGGTGTGTTGTGTGATGCGCTGTGGTTGTGGTGGTGTGGCCGGTTGGTGTATGTGCGCTGCTCGTGTGCGTGGTGTGTTTGTGTGGGCCAGGGAGAAAGAGCGTAAGGAGCCAGGGAGAGAGAGCGTAGGGAACAAGAGAGAAAAAGCGTAGGTAGCCAGGGAGAGAGAGCGTAGGGAGCCAGAGAGAAAGAGCGTTAGGGAACCAGGGAGAAAGAGTGTAGGGAACCAGGGAGAAAGAGCGTTAGGGAACCAGGGAGAAAGAGCGTTATGGAGCCAATGTTAGAAAAGAAGTGAACGCTCTCCAACCGGTGAGATGCGAGCGAGGTCGGGTGAGCGACCGGTCGCCGAGGGCCATAATCGTACCTGGTGATGAGCACGGCGGTGTCCAGGTTGTCACGATTCTTCGTCACCTGCCACGAGCAGAAGTTCTTGAGAGTCTGCGCGGCGTTCGTCGTCACCTGTGGTCCCTCCTGTAGCGGACAGAAGAACACGACAGACGCCGTGTGCCAGCACACGCGTGCGTTAGCTCGCATCATCACACGCACGCACACCCACGCACATTCACGCATGCACGGGCGCATGTACATATAGACGCGCGTACGCACCCACGCACACGCACCCACGCACATGCACGCACGTACGCGCGCGCACGAACACACTTCCTAGGTCGAACTTTCTCTGCGACGCGATCGTCGCTGCGACTTGCAACCAGTTGCAGAATATCCGTCGCAAGGCAATCACGTCGCGTCACAAGGCCGACCTAAGCCCGGCTTTACACACACACGGACGCGCGGACGAACGCACGAATACATGCGCGCGCGCACGCACGAACGAACAATCACGCACGTACGTACACGGACGCGTGTACGCACACGCACGCTCGCACGAACGCACATACGAACATTCACGCACGCACACACGCACATACGAACATTCACGCACGCACGCACGCACGTCACACACACACACGCACAGCCGATAACGCTGCATGCACAAACAACAGACGCCATGTACGTTGTTAAGCACGGCGTGAACAAAAATCCACACGCCTACGAGGTTCCTTCCTTCGCATCCTCTTTAAGACGGCTGCAGGCATTTGCTAAAGAGGCAAGCTATTAGCGTAGCTGAGAGAGACTCAGAAGCTCGTAGTACGATTCCTGCATCGCTGCCCTACGACTAACGGGAGAAGGTGAAATTGCGCTACGGGGGGGGGGGAGAAGCTATGCTCGAGATTAGAAACTTGCTGACCTACGGGGGCAGGGCGAGCAAGGGAGGAGAGGGAGAAGCATCAGTTCTCTACGTGGAGCAAGCTGCAGGCTCCCTCACGTCATAGAGTCGCCGCAATACAGGGGGAGGGGAGGGGGTAAGGGAGAAAGATGCACTAGCTTGCTATACCTACATGGCAAAAGACGCCGCACTTGCTATAGCTGAGTCGCTGTCAGGTTAGAGAGAGGCTGGGCCTGATACCAACGAGTTGCTGCGCTCTAGGGAAAGGGGGAGGGGAGGGATGGGAAGGGGACGAGAGGGGACAGGAGGGTAGAGAAGTAGAGGAAATGAGAGTGGAGGAAACGGGAGGGTAAGAGAGAGAAGTGGAGAAGAGGGGATGAGATGGACGGCAGGGCGAGAGGGAAGAGGAAATGGAAGGGGAGGAGAGGGGAGGGAACGGGGAGGAGGGGGAGGGAAGGAGAGGAGAAAGGAGGGAAGAGGAGGCGAAGGGAGACGTGAGGAGAGAGACTCCACCTACAATTATTGGAAGAGCCATGCAACACCTGACATCATAGAGTCACTGCACTACTGGGATGGAGACACGATGCTAGAAAATGCTCTGTGTTACAACCGGTTAGAGAGGTAAACTCACTGTGTCACCGGAGAAGGTGTGAGGGTAGAGAGGGAGAGACAGATGGCATTCGCCTAGACAGCGTAGAGAGGCAGAGAAAGAGGGAGAGAGTGAGAGAGCGAGAGAGAGAGAGAACCGCCCGTGCTGCTAGCTGCTGCTGTGCCTTTGTCTTTCTGTGGCACGTAGGCCGGGGCGTAGTGCGATCGACTGAAGACAGCTCACTACGATCATGACGAGCAGGGGTCTAGTAGTGCAAACCAGAGACTACACGTAGCTACCACGTCACGGGTGGGGTGACGTACGAGAGAGCACAGAGATACAGAGATACAGAGAGAGAGAGAGAGCCTCACTGCAAGCGCCACACCGCAAGCATGCCCCGCCGGCCGCGCGGCAGGGGGCGCCACCACTGCCGCCACTGCCGCGCCGCGCCGGTGCGAGACTCACCATGAACGAGCAAACCTTGTCGGCCTCGCGGCCGAACGTGAGCATGCACTGCCGGTTGATGGAGTAGGTAATGCCCGCGAGGCCGCGTCGATCCAGCTCACTCTGCCGCCGTCGGTGTGCGGCCGACGGCTTCCGCAGGTCGTAGAGGCACGCGCCGTCACCCGCGCTGCGCGACGCGTGAAAAGCAAACAGGCGAGACAGGTTACGTCGGCTCCCCCCGAGACACCGCAGCGCGCCCCCCGCGTTCACACGCGCACGCGCCGCCCGCCCCTTACCATGTCAAACATCTCCCGCGGGCAGGCGGCGCTGGCCGCACCGTACACGAGACCGCACTGCGCGTCGATGCCGAACGATTGGCCGGGCTGGCCGCGGCGGCCGCCAGCGAAGCCGGCGAGACGGTCCGACGGAGCATGAGACGCGTTGAGGCAGGATCCGTGCCGGTATCGCGGCTGGCTGCGGAGACACAAATGACATGAGAGCGAGAGCGAGACGCGCTGAGGCAGGATCCGTCGTGCGTTGAGGCAGGATCCGTGCTGGTATCGCAGCTAGCTGCGGAGACACAAATGACATGAGAGCGGGAGCGAGACACGCTGAGGCAGGATCCGTCGTGTGCTGAGTCATGATCCATCATGCGTTGACGCAGGATCCATCATGCGTTGAGGCAGGATCCATCATGCGTTGACGCAGGATCCATCACGCGTTGAGGCAGGATCCATCACGCGTTGAGGCAGGATCCGTGCTGGTATCGCAGCTGGCTGCGGAGACACAAATGACATGAGAGCGACAGCGAGACGCGTTGAGGCAGGATCCGTCGTGCGTTGACGCAGGATCCATCATGCGTTGAGGCAGGATCCATCATGCGTTGAGGCAGGATCCATCACGCGTTGAGGCAGGATCCATCACGCGTTGAGGCAGAATCTGTGCTGGTATCGCAGCTGGCTGCGGAGACACAAATGACATGAGAGCGGAAGCGAGACGCGCTGAGGCAGGATCCGTCGTGCGTCGAGTCATGATCCATCACGCGCTGAGACAGGATCCGTACACCGATATCCCGACTGGCTACAGAGAGACAAACGACATGAGTGTGCGTGCACGTGTCCGAGTGAGAGAACGAGAGATGCAAGACAGCGGGGGAGAGTTACATAGTTAGCTTCCCCTTCTCAGGCAGAGTGTGGTCGGGCTACGTCAGCAATGGCACCTCCTGTGGGGAGAAAAAAACAAGCAAACTATTTAACCTTGCACTACTATGCCGTTTTACTACATGTCTATACATTTCTTACCATCTCCCAAACTATCTCTACCATCTCTCTCTATCTCACTCTCCTAATGACATCCTCTACCTCCTAATCACCCCTCTCCTCCATGCATCACCTCTCTCAGCCTTCTCTCCACCCAACTACACATCTCACATTCATTGAAGATCTCAGTCTCACGAGCGAATGCACCTCCTCCCCCGTGTGCTACAATACAGTGATGCTGGTGCCACCGGCAGCTGAAAACCATCACGTGCTCTCTAACCCCCCCCCCCTCTCTCTCTCTCATGCACGCACGCAAACTCTTTCTCTCTATTACTCTCACACATTCTCTCTATCGCACATTCTCTCTCTTCCTGCCTCTCTTGCCATATGACGACCTTTTTAACTCCTCTCACCATTTCACTCTCTCGCTATGCCTCCCCCAATCTCTCTCTCTCTCGCCACCGTCCCACCCGCTGATGGGCAATGGTGGCGACCCCTGCCGTCAGCAATGCTTACTCGAGGAACTTGGTGATGGAGTATCGACTGCAGGCCGACCACGACCAGGGCCGCGTGTGTCGGTCCATCGTCGGCGCCATCACGTGGTACGACGTCTCACCCGTGTCGTTGAAGAAGTCTAGACACTTCTTGTTGTCGTCGTGCTGCATGTTGAAGCTGCGGGAAGCAAGAACAATGTAAATGCGCACAACGCAATGCAACGCGTCACGACGTGATGTGACGTGATGTGATGTGACATGATGTAACATAACGCAATGTGGTGCATCACAATATAATGTGACGTGATGTGACATGACGTGATGTGACGTGACATGATGTAACGTAACACAATGCGATGCATCACGATATAATGTGACGTGATGTGACATGACGTGATGTGACGTGACATGATGTAACGTAACGCAATGCGATGCATCACGATATAATGTGACGTGATGTGACATGACGTGATGTGACGTGACATGATGTAACGTAACGCAATGCGATGCTTCATTATGCAACATAACGTAACAGAATGTAATTTAACGTAATAAAATTTAATGCAGTTGGCACGCACTATTGCTTCTTCCACTAATTCTGCTTTCCTTTTCCTCCATATAGGTTCAAGTATGTCATATGTCATAAGGTCATATGTCTCCGTTTTACTACCTGACCGATCAGAACATATTTCGAACACAATTTAGTAATTTACACATACGAAAGAAATAGGAATAACTTTTACGAACGTATTTTGATTTTGTGATACTTTACTAGATGTTATGGCAGTGTATATAACACACGTATTATATAACAGTATTATTATAACACACGTACACGTGTCCTAGTTCGTGAGCAATCGTGAATGCAGCGCTGATTCCGTTGTCCTCCACCAGGGCGCAGCTCCTGGTTGGCTCACACATGGTACCGAGTAGAGAGAGAGAGAGGGAGCGGGATAAAAGGTGAGCGCCTCGGCACAGAAATGTAGGGTACAGTGCAATACAGTTATGTATAATTATGTACATTACTGTCATACTTACTATAGACATCAATGTTAGTAGATAATGTTCAAGCTCCTCGTGTGTGCGGTGGTACTTGTACATCTTGTAGTCAGCCACCACTAGCACCTCCACAAAGTGCTCCTTCGACACCGACCGCTTAATTCGCGACGCCGACGATGATGATGACGATGTCAATGACGTAAATGCAATGTCTGGTTGCGTCCCGTTGCTGCTGAGTGACTCCCCCGCGTGATGGTGGCTCCCCCGCGCGTGCAGCGGCGTGCGGTTGCCGTGGCGACTTCGATGCGGGTAGTGGCGCCCATGCTGCTGCTGATGCTGCTGCTGTTGTCGTCCGTGACGTTGGTGTTTGTTGCCGTGATGCTTCGAGCCATGCCTGCGCAGCGGCTCATGCTCGTGATGGTGACCTGCAGACGAAAGAGTAACGATGTTGCAGCGTTCGTAATTTTTTTTAACAAAACCATAGTGTTAGCAAGTGAGGGCTGCTAGATTGATGTGTGAAGAAGTGTAATGTGTGAAACGCCACGAGCAAGTTGAATAGATCACTCGACATGCGGTGGCAGTGCGCCGCTGTTATTGTTGCTGCTGTTGTTGTTGCTGCTGTTGTTGTTGTTGTTGTTGTCACTGCTGTTGTTGCTGCTGCTTTTTTATGTTGTCACTGCTGTTGTTGCTGCTGCTGCTACTGCTGTTGCTGCTACTGTGCTTTTTCTCACCGGCGTCATAATTAAGCAATTAAGGTTCCATTGACGAACGCCAAGAACGCGTGCAAGAATGTAGAGAGCAAACGTTGACGGTTTTGCCGTGCCTTCCTCCCCCCCCCCACACACGCACTATTACCCATCCCCCTTACCTACAATCACACAGGGTTCAGCCACTACCAAACTCACACGCACACACACACTCTCTCTCACGCTTACTTATAATGGGGCAGGTATTTGCAAAAAGGAGAGGCGAGACCCCATTGTACGTGATAATGCGTGGCAGTCACGCCACGCGTTTCATGTCACGCCACTGATCTTTCTGTCAGAGATACCACATGCACACGCACACGCATACACGCACGCACGCACGCACGCACGCACGCACGCACGCACGCGCGCACAAATACATACGCACAAACACGGCCACAATACATTCGGCGCGGCTACAATGCAGCTTTTCAGCGGAACCCGAAAACGCTCGGAATTTCAACCGAAATCAGTCGACGTTAAAAAACCAACAAGGTTTTCGCGTGGGCACAACAGACGTTTAAATGTCGGTAAGCGTTTACGCCGACAGTGGGCTGCCGCTGCTCGACTGAGGTCACGTCGCGAGAACAGTGACGTCGGGCGAAGGTCAAAGCGCGAAAACCTAAACGTCAGAGGCCGCGAACCGAAAACCTGCGACGTCACAGGTAGCAGCGCGCGAGAGCTGTGACGTCAGAGATCGCGACGAGTCAAAACACGAGACGAACTGAGACATCAAATCAAGAGCGTATTAAGGCGCTTAATACTTTAATACTTCTTAATATGCTCTTGATCAAATGCATTACTGCCGCGCATAATATGCCGTAGAGGGAGAGTGAAAAACGCCCGCCCACGAACCAAATTAAAGCAGACGCGCCCAGTGACAGCCGCGCTCAAAAAACGCGTAGCGCTAGTCACTTGTTAATAATGGCTGACGATGACAGTGAACAGATCGCTGCGGGTGATTCAAGGCGAGTATTTATTTACCTTCGCGCCGCGCTATGAATTACTTTTAACGATACGTGTGGCACATCTGGCTCTCTCCTCACTCCGCCGCCGCCGCCGCCGCCGCAGCAGCAGCAGCAGGCCCCTCGGCCGCCTCAACGCGGTGGTATTCAGGTTAATTTCGCGCTGTCCCATTTCGCAACGTAAATTTCGCAACTCATCTGGGGCGGCGGCGGCGGCGGCGGCGGCGATGATGGTGATGATGGCGATAGATAGCGGGCGCATCTCCCCACGCCGAGCATTCAGCGGCGGCGGAGGCAGTGGCGGTGATGATGGCGGTGGCAGCGGTGGTGATAATGGCGATGGCGGCGGTGGGGATGATGGCGATGGCGGCGGTGGGGATGATGGCGATGAATATAGCCCGTCGAGCACTCGGCGGTGGTCGGCAGCACGGAGCAGGGAGTAGAGAAAATGGAGGGAAGAGTTATCGTGCCAGGATATAAACTAGGACGGAGAAGGAGCAAGAGGAGAAGGATGAAAGAGAAGAAGAAGATGAAGAAGAAGAAGAAGAAGAAGAAGAAGAAGAAGAAGAAGAAGAAGAAGAAGAAGAAGAATAACAATAAAGATAATAATAAGATGATGACAATTATGACGATGATGATGATGATGATGATGATGATGATGATGATGATGATGATGCTGATGATGATGATAATGACGATGGCAATCGGGAAGAGGAAAAAGAAGAAGAAGAATAGAAAGGAGAGAAAGAGGAAGAGAAAAAGTAAGAGAAGAAACATAACGCACAAGAAACACAAGAAGGAACAAGCGGAATTGAAGAGAAAGACGAGGGAGAAGCGGAAAGGGAAGCTGCTGGCGCAGATGCTGGGGCCCCGCGGTAACCACACACACGTGCGTTGATGCAGATCAGCGGAAGCGGCTGGTTGGAATGTGTAAGCAGATCAATTATAGAGGTCTCACTATATAGCTAGGGAACGTACGGCGTGCGCACGAACAGACGGCTATAGGAACGCAATTATCCGTATCTTTAGTGAGTGCTCCGTCTCTGAGTCTCTCTCCCTCTCTCCCTCCCTCCCCCTCTCTCCACAACCCGCTATCTACCTTCCTTTATGTTCCTCTCACATCTCTCTCTCTTTCTCTAACTCCCTCTCCTTCTTCGTCACGCACGCACACACGCACGAACGCACATACGAACATTCACGCACGCACACACGCACGCTTCATGGTAATCGAGAGTTAATCGAGAGAATTTCATGTTCGCGTTCAGACAACGCGAGTACTTCGTCACTGCCAATTCCAGTTGTTAACCTCCGCCCGCACACACGAAGCAAATCATTAATTAAAAGCTCAATTAACTAGCAGGGTTTAGCAGCAATGTAATGAGCCTATACTGATGCGGGGTATTTAGCATGCTGAGCATAAAATGATCCATGAATAAATCTAGTAACAGGAAATTAATGTTTGGTAAAAGATATTATCAATAAAAAAAAAATTATGGTAAAAAAAGATCAAGAAAATCCTGGAACGGAAGATTACGTAAAACATTTACGCAAAAAGCCTAGAACCTATTTTCCCTGATAAATACATGCCAGAAGAACAAGAAAATGTATGGTTCCAGTAATTAACAACCGAAAACTACCAAATGATAATACACTGTTAGAAATCGGCGAGTGCAGCGCCATCCAGCGGACGCTGTCGTGACAACTGTCGTCTGTCATTGCTTACCTCTTTGTCTGAGATTATAAGGATCTTCGCTACCATTATTGAGATGCTATTTCCTATACTTGGGTCCCTGTATATCATTGACACCTGCGGAAGTAGAAACAGAAAGAACACAGAATGAGCACAGCATTCATGATCAGCGGTTGCCCGAGCCAAGACCACAAAGCAAGCAGTCCTTCTCTCCCGCTTCTACGAGGTCCTTCTTCTCCCCTATCTCTTCTTCCGTCCCTCCCGTTTTCCCTCGCCCTTCTTTCCGCTTCACTCTCTACCTCCGTCCCATCTCTTCTTCCCTCCCTCCTTCTCCAACTCTTTTTCCACCTCACTCTCCCTTGTCTTTCCTTCTCCTCCTTTGCTTTCTGTTGCCCTTCCTCCCTCTTACCCTTCCTCCCTCTTACCCTTCCTCTCTCTTACCCTTCCTTCCTCTTACCCTTCCTCTCTCTTACCCTTCCTCCCTCTTACCCTTTGCTGGTGGTGGTGGTGGTGGTGGTACTGCTGCTGCTGCAGCTTCTGACACCAGCCTTACCCACTGGGTGAACAGATGCTGCATATATGCAGAAGCACTCCATCTAAAATATTTACATCTGAACCCGTTTTTTTAAGTCCGCATTTCGTTTTGATTTCAAAACACTCTAGGGCATGGTGTAACATGTCTACGTGACAAGGAGATGGAGCGCGACGTGACCCCGTGCACGACGCGACCCCGCGCGCGACGTGACCCCGTGCGCGACGTGACCCCGCGCGCGACGCGACCCCGCGCGCGTCGTCACCTCGCGTCACGTTAAGACGTACGGTGCTTACCTAACGTGTCACACTTGCCAGCGGACCTGCAGATGTCCTCCCTGAAAGAAGAACGATAATGGTGAACGTGTGAGCAACGTGAGAAGAGGAGTATGCCGACCTCAGCTGACCTCCCCCCTAGCAGGACCAGATCATGCGCCGCCCTAGCTATGACAGGATCAAACATGGAATTGCCCTGCTAGTACATGAGAGAAAGAAAGCGCGAGAGAGAAAAAGAGAGACAGAGAGAGAGGGAGAGAGAGGGGGAGAAAGAGAGAGAGAGAGAGAGAAAGAGAGAGCCATGCAAGGCACACCCGGCCGTAAGTTGCTAAATGGCCGTCACCACCACCATCGCCTCCGCCTGCTGTGAACCGCCTGCCAGGGCAAGCGAGCGTACTCGTACATTTATAATCCCTCCCTCCCTCCCTCCTCGCTCTACCCCTCTCCGCCCTCTTCCCCGTGGCTGAGAGAAAGCCTCTTGTATCCTGCACGGATGTGTTACAGGCAGCATGAATCAGGAAGCTCTATGTGCTTGCTAGTGAATACCTTCGTTTAGGCCGCCAGCGTCAAACTAGTCCGCCAACGGAGCCTGCACGCATACAAGCTGCCGCTAAAAGCTCGCCCAGTGGGAGCCCCCTCGGGAGTGCGGCTTAACTGTAGGCTGTTCTCCCTCGACAGGCAGGCAGACAGACAGACGGAAAGACATGCAGGCAGTAAG